GATTAAGTGAAAATTGCCAAAAGTGTGGAGGGTCAAGCAGTTGCTGAAACATCAAGTCTGAGGCATCAAGTAAAAAAAATGAAAGTAGAGCGATGGGTTAGGGATGTGGAAGAGGGAGGAGTCAGGTCATGGAGGTCACGTCCCAGTAAGAACTTCAACCTGATCTCAAGATAATGAAAAGCCAAGGGAAAGCTCCAAGCAAGGAAACAGTAGGTGTTATACTAACCTACCTGAGAGCTCCGTCCACCCGCCATTCCTGCGTTCTGGGAAGCAAAGATCCCTGCAGACTCAGTTCTACCGAATTGTTTACGTCCAGATTATGAAATGCTTCCAAATTAAGAAAAACTTAAGCATTTAAATTAAAAATTAGCTTCCTAAATATCTGCATATGACCTGTGGAAATACGAACATATCCAGGAGTCCTTTGTTTCTCACTTACAGACAACAGGGTGCCTAAAATGAAGATCATTTTTCTTTTTCTGTGTATTTTTGTGGTAAACTTAAAAACAGTAGATGTGGGGCGCCTGGGTGGTTCAGTGGGTTAAGCCTCTGCCTTTGGCTCAGTTCATGATCCCAGTGTCCTGGGATCGAGTCCCACATTGCGCTCTCTACTCGACAGGGAGCCTGCTTCCTCCTCTCTCTCTGCCTGCCTCTCTGCCTACTTGTGATCTCTGTCAAATAAATAAAAAATTAAAAATTAAAAAAAAAAAAACAACTATAGGTAAAAGGAAAGAGAGGCGCCCGGCTGGCTCAGTCGGTAGAGCATGTGACTCTTGATATCGGGGTTGTAAATTTGAGCTCCACCTTGGGTATAGAGATTACAAAAAAAAAAAAATCTTGGGGAGCCTGGGTGGCTCAGCTGTTGGGCATCTGCCTTTGGCTCAGCTCATGATCTGGCCTAGGTCCTGGGATCGAGCTCCGCCTGGGGCTCCCTGCTCAGCAGGGAGCCTGCTTCTCCCTCTCCCACTCCCCGTACTTGTTTCTGCTCTCCCTAGCTCTCTGTCAAATAAATAAATAAAATCTTTTTTTAAAAAATCTTTTTAAAAAAAGGAAAGAAAAGGTCTACTCATTGTAAAGACTGAGTCTTCAAGACACTTCACAGTCATTAGGTTCTAAGTCTCAGCATGTTTGCTTCTCCCCTCACCAGCCTTCAGTAAGAACATTAACTAAAGAACACCTCCCATTTCCACCAGCTCACAGAGGGAAGAGCTAGACCAAAGCCCGTTCCAGATAAGGACGGAGGAAGCTGGCACAGAAGGCTGTGTGGGGTTGGCAATCAGTTCAGCAAGGACAACTTCCTGTGACTCCAGCGAGCACAGTGGCCCTGCTAAGCCTCAGCAAGTTCACTGTGTACACACACACACAGACACACACACACCCCTAGCACTCCATATTCCTGCTAACCTTATTCCAGCTTAAGGTGGTCAGGTAGAACTTACTTCCACTGTTCTTCCCCGCTCCCCCCACCCGCTTACCTTACCCCCTTTCTGAGATTCTGCAAGAAATTTGCTTTATTTATTTATTTTTAAAAAGATTTTATTTACTACTCTAGGAGAGCACACCTGAGTGCGTGTGAACAAGCAGCGGGGACGGAGAGGGGCAGAAAGACGCCACACTGAGCTTGGAACCTGACCCAGGCCTTCGAGATCGGGACCTGAGCTGAAATCAAGAGTTGGACACTTAACTGACTGAGCCCTCCGTCCCCTACCCCAGGCACCCAGAGAATTTGCTTTAGATACAGGAAAGGAGAAATGATTATTCCCTCCTTTTCTGGTGCAAGCTCAAACTTCAGGTCATACAGATCCAGGATTAGACCCCAGCTTTGCTTGGACAAGCTGTGTGAAGAGGAGCAGGTCACTTCGATCTCTCTAAGCCTCTTTTTCTTCCTCTGTGCATGAGGATAACAGTGATTCTTTCTTATAATTGAAAGAAATGATGCAGAACACACATCTGGAGCAAACTCCATCAACCAAAACAGTATTAGAGACGCCAGCAACAGCATACTGCCATGTGTTTAAACTTTGTAAACAATAAGAATGAACACTCACTACACTCTGGTAAAGTGTTGGTTTACTATCGCTCCTACAAGTCTTTGTGATCTGACAATTTCGTAGCCCACGGGATAGAAAAGGTCTCTGTCCCCAGTCACCTTGCCTGTCCTCATTCTGCCCTGAGTAGACTTTTGTGACCACCACTCCAATGTGGCTCTAAGGAATGCTGGGTCATTTAGAAAAGAGTCACTGCTATGAATCTACTTTCAACTACGAAGGTAGCTTCAAACCGCTCTCAGATGTGTCCATGATACCAAGACTCCGTGTAGAAGCAGGGAGTTTTTTCACATATAGCAGGCATTACGGTCTTGTTCACACAGGGCTGACAGCCACAGCCCTGCTGTCACAACAATGGAAACTGGTTTATTGGGACATCACCAGGAACAGGTGCTACAGGTCACACAGGTGTTCTCAGACAACAGACAGAAAACAGAATTTTGAGAAGAAACTCAGTCCCGAATAAAAGAGGGAAGCTGGTGCTGTTTTCTGCCTTCAGTGGCCTGGCAGACCTCAGACCCCTTTCCAAATGATCATAAACAATGGAAAAGACTTCACAGTCTGAGAAATCAAGAGACTGCAAAGTGGAATTTCCAATAATCTGTGACTTCGAAATTGAGAATTAACTTTGGACCAACTCCCACTGTTGATCCCCTCTGTGTTCATTTTACCCATTCTCCTCGACAACAAAACATCAGACGGTTCTTGTTGAACCAAGTCGGTTGACACCCGGGTACTTGGTCAAGTCTTAGGTTAGAGACATTTAACTGAAGAGCTAATTTATCAACTTCCAAAGAAGATTCACAGATTTCAAAAACAGCCCGAGCGGCTTTGAGCAATGACTTTGAGGATGAATGGGATACTGTGTGACACGGTCTGAAAGGAACATACCTATTTCAAGTCATAAATTCTAGGATGCTTATTAAAAATCGATTTCAACACGCTGTAGCTGTGCTTATCAAGGACGATGAAAAGCATCCATTCACGAGACTGAGCTAGTATATGTCAATTATGCTCAATTTAAAACACACACATACACACGACCAAGCTACAGGATACGCGATACAGAGCTCCTGCAGCTTCTCATGCTTCTTAGATCACTATACTGCACACAGTTACAAGACAACACAGTTGGCACTAAGCTGGTCACTAAAAACAACCAGACTGAGGCGCCTGGGTGGCTCAGTCGTTAAGCGTCTGCCTTCAGCTCAGGTCATGATCCCAGAGTCCTGGGATCGAGCCCCTCATTGGGCTCCCTGCTTGGCGGGGAGCCCACTTCTCCCTCTCCCACTCCCCTGCCTGTGTTCCCTCTCTCGCTGTCTCTGTCAAATAAATAAATAAAGTATTTAAAAAAAAAAAAAAAAAGCAACCAGACTAATAGTTTTCTAAGCATTAAAGTTCTGGTTTTTGTTTTTGTTTTTGTTTTTGTTTTCCAAATAATCTCCAATGAGTCTGTTCTCTAGAAGCGCTGGATATTAGAGAACTCAGTCTATGAATACGAAAAAATTGGAATGGACATCGGCACATACCTGGAATCCTATTAAGTGTCACCCAGAAATGTTCATCGGGGCTGTAAGTATCTTTTGACCAGTGTAGAAGATCAATGGCCCTTTTGTCGTGGAAGACAAAGTTGACAAACTCTCTGGTCAGGGCCACATAGGCAGTGCCAAAGTAGATGGTCAGCTGATGCGGAGGTGAGCTTTTCAAAATATTAGTATTTTTCACAAAAGAGCCGTCTTTGCCTATGTGCTCCCGGTGGACGAACTTCGTCCGTCCAATGGCGTGAGCTGGGGGCAGCACCCCCGGGGTGATGTTTTTCCCTTTAAAGCCTTTCAGATACTGAACGATCTCCTTGTTGGTCTTCAGGGGGAAGTCTTGCCCACACGTGTTGATGGCGTACTTCCAGGGCACCTCGGACGCCGCGAGGTCTTTGAGGCAGTTCAGGTCAGCCTGGAGCCTGGAGATCCCCCCATAGACAACCGGCTCCATCTTGGAGGCCAGGAAAGCATTTGGGAAGCAGCTCAGCAACAGCTCTACTGACTTCTTGAATTCAACGGTGGCCTTTTCATCCACGTGAACGCAGTAGACATTCTGGGGCATGTAAACAGCTCGGAAGAGCCTCTGGAAAGTATCAAAGTCCTTATGGATGACCATGACATAAGCCAACGGGAAAGCAGCTTCCTCTTCCGACAGGGGGCTGGTGATGTAGTGATTCTGGGTCAGGTAGTCCTTGCACGGGACGCTCCCCAAAGGTGAGGGCAAGGTCCTCCCCCACAAAAAAGGAGCCTTATCTCCTAAGGCGTAATCACAGGCATGAATTCCGAAGTACTTGTGACTAGAGCCATTCAGCGACCCGAACCTCGCCGGCAGGTGTAACTGGCTGTTATAAAGTATCACAAATAGAAGCGCACTGAAGACCGTGAAAGCAAAAAGGCAGTACCTCCAAAAGTTCATTATTTTCACTTCCCTGGGGAAGGACGCGCTCTCCAGGGACTGAGGAATGACCAGTCCCCGAAACCGCGAGTGGGGAGAGGTTGGCCCGATCGCTCTTCCCGGTCTTGAATTCCGACAGGCTTCTCCCGAGGGCTGGAGTCCTTCAGTCCTGATGCGCTGTCTGCCCCAGCGCGGCGTCCATCCTCCGCGGCGGCGCAGGCGAGGAGATGCTGCCCGAGCGCGCTCGGCTCCGCCGACCCGGAGGTGCTGAATCCCGAGCCGCCCTCCGCGCCGCGCTCAGCCCGGCCCGGCGCTCGCCGCCCAGCCCCGCCTCTGGGAAACCCTCCTCATTTGCATGCGAAATGCAAGTGGCGGATATAGCAAATTGCGTTCTGGAGTGGACTTTCCACGGGGGCTGAGTTTCCCTCGCTTCGCCCCGCCCGCCTTCCAAGCCCGGTGCTCCGCTCCGACCTCCCTGCTCTTCGCCGGCTCTCTCCTCGCCTTTTCCGCTCTCTCTTCGCCTTTTCGAGGGAAGAGCTTCTACTTTTTCTGCTTCGCCCCGGCAACCTGCTAGCAGCCCTTGCAAAAGCACAACATTTAGGACTTCTGCCCCCTCGGCTTTATTCGTCTTCCCACTTTTGCATTTCAGTGTTATTTCTACCTCTGGGCACACAGACCCAGGTAAGAAAAAATGCACTTGTACTAGGCGTAAGCGGAAAACTGTCAAGGGCGACAAGAGTCTGTGGCCAGGTGGGTGTTCCTGGGTTAAATCAGACAGTCTGATCGTGTTACGTAGCATATACATGTGTGTGTAGGCTATGGGAAGAGGGGAAAAAAGAATTACACTCTTGGAGTATGGGATGAGGGCAGAAGGAACCTAGCAGCGACTTGTAACGTTAAAGGGTCAGTGTGGCTGACATAAATGAAATAAACACACCTTTCAGTTTACACCGCCAAAGGGAAAGGTGATAGTCATTGTCCCCAGAAAGTTGGTTCCCCTTTCACACAGAGCCTCAGATAACGTGAACTCTTAACAGGGCGGTTATCTCCAGTGTGTGGAGTCACTCGCCAGTGGTCTTTAAAAAAGTCTGACATCTTCAGATCTGAGGTCATTTCATACAAATCAAAGAAGTCTCCTTCCCACCCAGCCCCCTCTTCTCCCACTTCCTCACTCTGAAGAAAGAACAAAGGCTTCAGGGTTGCTGCAAAATTCCTGGAAGTACCAGTCAGTGTAATTCAGGGGAGGCAGGAAGGGAAGCCCAGCAGGTCTGGTCACATTACAGAGGGCTTGTCATAGCTCACCTGTAAGGGTGGCTGGAGCACTTAGCAAATGTGGAGGGTGCTGGAGACATAGGAGGGTGGTAAGGACACTCCGGGGGGAAGCAACTCAAGCAGCTACAAAAGAAAATCAATGGTGGCAGCCACAGGTAGCTAAAAGTGGCCTGGTCCCCTCTCAGCCCGCAGTCACCTAGCCATCCTAACTGTCTGGGCACCAGGTGGCTGTTGGAGCAGGTGCCTCTGTTCCGAAAGCGGGGTATAATGCAGCACTCTCCCTGCCCCCTTCCTATCCCACACCCCTCTTACTCTATGAGCACTTGAAAAGGAGTCCGGCCAGGATTCCTCCCCTGCCCCTGTAACCACCGCACCAGCATTCACGGTTACCTCTCAGGGCCCAGCTGGGGTGGACACAGAGCTCCTAGAATGTTCATGAGAACTACAGGACTGTAAGGGGGGAAAAGTTTCCACCATGTTCTCAGAAAGCCCCAGAGAGCCCCGCCTTTCACTTTCACGTAAAAGTGGAGTAAAAGTGGATTACTCTAATCCACGGAGCTAATGAATGACAACAGCTTGGCCTGGAGATGATGGATATCGATTTGGAAACAGACTCAAAGATCATCTAACATGACCCTTTATTTTACAGATGAGGAAATGGGAGCCAAGAAGAATATTTTTTCCCAAGGTTATTCAGCTGGACAGAAGCCAGAAACCTTCACTCTGCAGCTCCCTTGTCCAGATGCTGAAGCCAGTCTATTTGGCTTCTAATCCCTGCTGGTCAGTGACCAGCTGCGAGACCAGGGTAAAGTTACTTAACCTCTCTTAGCTCCGGGTTCTTCATCTGTGAGATGGAAAAAAAAATCACAGCGGTTCCCGTTTCACGCGGTTGTGAAGAACTATAACCGAGATGACTTCTGTTTAGGGTTTAGGTGGACAATCCCGTGTGTTCAATACGCATTACCAGTTACTGTTGTCACTTCTTTTTTGAAAAATAGCCAACATTTCTCACCATGTGAATGACCTGATATTTTGACTTCTGTTCTTAGTAACGGAAAAGAGATATATTTATCCTATTAAGGCTTTCCACAGGGTTGATTTTATTCCCACTCTTTTCCTTCCCCATCCCTAGCCCCCTTTGGCCCAGACAAAAAGCAGAACTACTGCTTGAGGAAGGGAAGAATGGAATGGTCCATTTGGATGCCTTCACTTCCCCCTCATTCTAGTTAGAACTACACCCTTTTCTGCAAAATACATCCTTGGCCAGACTTGTGGAGAGCAGGAGGGGAAGTGCCAAAGGGGAGAGAGGGGAAGCACAGGGCTCTCTCTCCTCACAGGTTCTGTGGGTTCTTCCCTCTTTTTGCCCCAAGCCTTGGCCCCACAAGTGGGATCGCTGCTGGAATGCCCACCCAAAACAAACTCAACCAATCTTTAATCAGGATTTAGTCAAAGCAGATTGCAAATGGGGTGGGGAGTGGTGCAAGGTGATTTACAGTTCAAAACACCAGTACCCCCAGAAACCCTTCTGTGGTCTGTCCTGCCTTACTTACAGTTGTTTAGATGAACAACCAGACATGAAAATGGGATGCCTGCTAAGCGCTTAGCCCAGCGGGTAGGTTTGTTTTGCTTGGTATCTGTGGCAACCGAACAGGCATTTTCTTCTAGCAGATCGCTGGGCGGGCTGAGCTAGTAACTTCCAACCAGTATGTTATTTCTGCTCTGTTCATTCTAGCTGGCTTCACATACTGAAAACTGTCATCACGTGGACATTCGATATCCCAATCCCTGCCTCTCTCGGTCCCGGGATCATCTTTAACATCACCAACAATGGTACAGCACTGGACAGCCGCTTGCCACACACCATCAACTTAGCTCAATGTGAGAGCAAAAGGTGGGGCTCTCTGAGAACATGGTGGGAACTTTCCCCCCCTTACAGTCCTGTAGTTCTCATGAACATTCTAGGAGCTCTGTGTCCACTCCAGCTGGGCCCTGAGAGGTAACTGCAAATGCTGGTGCAGTGGTCACAGGGGCAGGGGAGGAATCCGGGCCGGACTCCTTTCTAAGTGCTCATAGTTCTCCTTGACCTCAGATCACTCCTCCTAGCTTAACTTTTGCTACAGAATCAAGGCGATGCTTTCTGATGGATCCCCTCATCTCCGCCAAGGGTACACCAGTTGCTGTCAGTCTGGCAACCTAAAAAACACCTGGGCTGCACGGGAGACCCAGAAAATGAACAAGATCTCCCAGCAACCAGAACAATGACCACAAGGCTGTGGACTGGACTCACCCACTGGAACGTGTTGAGGATGGCAAATGTAAGAAGGAAGTGAAGCTGGTGGAGGAAGGGAAAGACCGGGCTGGTAAGTTCACGAGTGGCAGCGAACACTAGGCCAAGGGGTCATGGACATAGAGGGGGAGTGGAGACCACAGGGAAGAGCCTGGGTCCCACTTAAAGAAATCAGCTCCCTCTCAGCACCGGCTATTAATGCCATGCTGGTCACAGGGCCAGGATGCCAGCTCCTCAGATATTTTAAGAGAAGTGAGAAAGCTGAGATAGATATATATATATATATATCCCAAACTCTTTAAATGTTACCAAGTCACTAACACATTTGTAAGACACAAGTGTATGCATGCATCTGCACCCCCAGAGACTGCATTTGGCCCTAAGGATGCCAGTGTATCATCTTTGCTTTAAGCACTGAAGGTCATGTACTTTGAAACTCTCTTGAGACTTAGCCTATGGACTCTTAGTTTCGACGACACAATCGTAACAATCAGACTCAGAACTGAACAGATAAGAAGTCACGGATTAAAAGAGGGATGTAGCCCTGGGGGATTGGGACACCCTGTTGTCAGCAAGAAGTGATGGACAGAGGATGAAGTGGAAGGTTCCAGAAAAACTACGGGAGCAGAGCAGTGCACGATCATTCAATGGAAGGATGGCTGGCATTCATACAGCTCAGTGACCATTTTACTACTGTAGATCAGGACCTCCAGCATTTGTAAATTATCAACTCAGTTCATGTCACTGTGAAAGGGCTTGACAACCGTAAAGATCACTGCAAACATTGGGCCAACCAGACCTTGAAAACAAGCAGAGTGCTAACATTTAGGAATAACATAACAGGAATATAAATGTATTTGTCTTATGCATACATGCTTCAGATGCTATTTAAAAAGTCATCTATTGGGGGTGCCTGGGTGGCTCAGTGGGTTAAGCGTCTGCCTTCAGCTCAGGACATGATCACAGGGTTCTGGAATAGAGTCCCATGTCGGGCTTCTTGCTCAGTGGGGGTCTGCTTCTCCCTCTCGCTCTGTCTCCCTCTGCTTGAGCTCCTTCTCTCTCTCTCAAATAAATAAATAATATCTTTAAAAAATAAAAAGTCTCTTGTGAAATGTTTATTCAGAATCCTTTTCTTTTTTTAAGATTTTATTTATTTACTTGACAGAGATCACAAGTAGGCAGAGAGGCAGGCAGAGAGAGAGAGAGAGGAGGAAACAGGCTCCCCATGGAGAAGAGAGCCTGATGTGGGGGTTGATCCCAGGAACCTGGGATCATGACCTGAGCTGAAGGCAGAGGCTTTAACCCACCGAGCCACCCAGGTGCCCTCAGAATCTTTTCTTTTAATTAACCATTTCCTGTACAAAGTGGGAGGCTTTTGGTTATTTAATAAACTCCCGTTATGACAAAAATGTTTCTCTGAAAGTATTAGACAATTGTGCTGACCACACGATCCTATATCAGGCATCAGCATTTTTTCTATAAAGCGCCACATAGTAAATATTTTAGGCATGTGGGACTTTTGGTCTCTGATGCAACCACTGAGTGCTGCTTCCCCAGCATGACAACAGCCATAACAATACCAGCCTGTGTATTTTTGTTTTCTTTTAAGATTTTATTTTTAATTATTTAATAGAGAGAGAGATCACAAGTAGGCAGAGAGGCAGGCAGAGAGAGCAGGGGAAGCAGGCTCCCCGCTGAACTGAGAGCCCGATGTGGGGCTCGATCCCAGGATCCTAAGATCATGACCTGAGCCAAAGGCAGAGGCTTAACTGACTGAGCCATCGAGGTGCCCCAGGTTCTAAAGAGTTTTAAACAGGTCGGGACATAAAAAGAGCTTAGAACAATGCACATTGAATGACTCAACATAAGAATAATGCACGTAAGAATGACTCAACACATCTAAGTCGTCTCTCTGTTGGCAAATTTGTCTCACCTAGGAAACTACCAGTCCCGTCTGCCTCCCAGGTACGTTTAGTGAAGCAGAACAGCTGTGCTTGAGGGGTCATTCTACCACCTAAAAGAACCTGAAGACAGGCAGGAGCCCTCAAGGCCACTGTTATCATGGGCGGCATTGGTCTCTTCTGCCCTGTTCCCCTGACTCAGTGTGGGGCACTGACCCTTCATTCCCAACTGCAGCCTCTTTAGCCTGTTTTTCCAAACCACATCCAAGTGGTTACCTCTCAGAGTGCCAGCCTGCTGGGGCATCCCACAGAAAGGTTATGATGGAGACAAGCACACAGCATGGTGGGGAAGACTGAGGCTCTGGAGCAGGGTTTGAGAGGGGGTGGCACCTGCATGGCCCAGTCCATTAAGCAACAACTCTTGGCTTAGCTCACATCCTGATCTCAGCGTCGTGAGATCGAGCCGCACATCTGGCACCACACTCAGTGTGGCGTGTGCTTGTGATTCTCTCTCCCTTTCCCTCTGCCCCTTCCACTTGTTCTCTCTCTCTCTCTAAAATACACAAATCTTAAAACAAAACAAAACAAAACAAAAAACCCAAGGCTCTGTTGCTTACTATGTGACCCTGAAAAGGTCTCTTGAGATCACTTTGTCTTAGTTTCCCAATTTCTAAAAAAGGAGTAGTCCTTTTTTATCCAAGTGGTGGAAAGTAAATCTGGCTAAAAAGACTTCTTCTGCATCTTCTCCCACTATGCCACACAACACCACCACATTCTTCTGGGGTCACAAGCCTTTTCCTACTTTCCTAGAAGTAGTATTCTTCGGAAAGCAAAGTTCTTTCCCTTCTGGGGTGAATTGCTCAGATTTAATTCTAATTGCCCAAACAAACAAAAGTGAAAGCCAAATACAGAACAGAAACAGAAATTTTTATCTTCAGTTATATTCTTTTAAATTTCAAGGAACAGAATAGGTGACTGTCTTTCTGTGCAAGGTCTCCTTTGAGAAGAAAAGATTGGAGATTCATGATGAGAACTTGCATGTCCAAGGTCTGTCCAGATCTGGAACAGTCTTCCGCCACCCTTCGGACACCAACCACCTCCCAACTGCTCCACCTCCACAGTTTTGAACGTGCAACTGACATTGCAAGGGGATGGTATTTCCATCAAGAGACAGTATTTTATCTTTAGCAGCTGCCACAGAACTCTATCTTGAAGATATTCCTTATCTGTTGAACATTTTCAAATAAGTGGAAACAAACCAGTCTTAAAATAGAGATAGGCAGTGGCTCCCTCCAGCTTCTACTTTTAATAGCCCTATTAAATTCTTGACTGTTGTTCAGTTTATACAATTCCCTGTCCTACTAGCTTCTTTCCCACAGAACCTGTCATTAACTTGAGTTTAGACAGTTTATTAGGGCAGAGGGCTTGGATTCATCCCAAAAAGCAGACACTTCTTTGCTAGACATTAAAATGCTGGAACAAATTTGTCTCCAAGATATGTCCTGTGTTTGCATTTCTTCAAAGATCTTTGCATTTGATTCTCCCACTGGTTAAAGCGGGTTCAGATTCCGATTTTACGTGTACCGATTTGTCCTTTTAAATGATTTCCTTAAGCTTTATCCTTTCTCCTCAAAAACAATGGAAAAATTGTTATAAATAGATTAGGCTTGGTCCCAGTCTGCTTTGGTTAGGGCCCTCATGACCGGTAGGGAGTTTCAATGACTACCCTTCAACGAGTCTTCAGTATGATGGAACCTGCCTTACTGAGTGGTTTGATTGTAACTTGTTTCCAGTTTATTGATCAGTGTTGTTCTATGGAATGTGAATATCTAGGGTGCTCATTCTTGACCCTGAGATGACCCACCTGGGCTTTAGGAAGTGAGCAGGAATGTGTTGGGGCAATGCTTAGGGTAACCATCTATCCCAGTTTGCCCAGGATGGAGGGATTTCTGGGGATGTGGGATTTTCAGAGCTAAAACTGGGGAAGTCCTGGGCACACCAGGATGAACTGGTGACCCCAGACAATAGCAGTCCTGCCCACTCACAGCTGAGAGATATTTGTTTGAAGAGTATTCAGTAACTGATCAGTCTGTGGGGCATCTGGGTGGTCCAGTCCATTAAGGGTCTGACTTTTGATTTCAGCTCGGGTCTTAATCTCAGGGTTGTGAGATCAAGCCCCCCCCCACCTCCCCCTCCACCCTGCCCTGTGCGGGGCGTGGAGCCTGATGAAGATTCTCTCCCCTCTGCCCCTCCTCTCTCTCTTTCTCTCTTTCTCTCTCTCCCCAAAGGTTGGGGTGGGGGGAGGAAAGAAAGAAAAAAGAAAGGTTAAAGAAAAAGTACCAGGGGCACCTGGGTGGCTCAGTTGGTGACACATCTGACTCTTGATTTCAGCTCCGGTCATGATTTCAGGGTCCTGAGATTGAGTCCTGCATTGGGCTCCTCCCTTCAGTGGAGAGTCTGCTGGAGAGTCTTTCCCTCTGCCCCTCCCCCTCCTTGTGAGCTTGCATATGCCCTGTCCCTCAAATTAATAAACCCTTTAAAAAAAATAACTGATCAGCATGGAAAGGAAAGATATGTTTAAGCCATTGATCTGTGTAGGAGAGCACGCAGACCATCAAAAATCTCCAAACTGTAATCCATAAAAACTACATAACCCTTCCCATCATATCCCGAAACACTGAGGAATGGGGACAAAACATTTAGTGTTTGTGGGACAGCTTCACAGTGAACCAAGAAGAACACAAATAAATTGTTCTGTCTACACGGATGTTCCCCAGTGGATATAAGAATGTCTTAATAACAACCTACATAACGAAGGGAGAACCCAAAAGGAAAATAACTGTTATTATAGTGTTAACAGATTCTGAAATCCCGCCCCCCTCCACATCCCATGTGACTTGAGAGGTCTTCTTTCTGTTATGATGAGACTAACAGAAAAATGGGGGGGGTCTTAAGAATGGAAACACTTATTTTAACATTTGCAATAAATGGGCAATAAAGCCAGAAAATGTTCACTCATTTGCAGAGCATCAGAGTCAGCTAGCCGTTTGAGCTCTCTGACTCTCAATTTCCAAATTTGTACAACCTTAGGACTGGAAGTAGAAGCTCCCTCAGGCTTCCTTCGGCTCTAAATGCTGTGATTATTCTAAATTCTGCCCAGAATAAAGAGGAGGCTGTTTTTACAGGAAAACTGCACTGGGAAATTTTGTTTAGATTCAGTAAGTGTCGGGGGAAAGTCCAAAATGTGGTAGGATAACTGACCCGTGATATAATCAAGAAGTCTTGGAGGTGGGTGGAGGGCAGTTAGCTCAGACAGACCAAAGTCCTGGGAGAGGAGGAAACCAGATGGGGGTGTGCAGCCCCTCCAGGAGGCCACCAGAGACCTAACCAGGACTTCAGGGTCTAAGATAGGCAGTTTTCAGGTGGGATGTGGGAGAGCATTTGGAGACCTGGGCAGGAGGGCCTTCCTTTTGCAGACCCCCAAGGAGCTCTGACTTGAAGACAGAATTAGAGATTTTCATGAAGAAGGAATCCTGTGAGGATTGGGCTAAGGAAGTGGGTGGAGGGAAAAGGAAGTGTCTAGAAGAGGGGATTTATGATGGCAGGAAGCTAACTGCATTGGGATGATCTGAGTATCTTTAGCTTACTTAATTAAAAAAAAAAGGCAGTTTTGGGGTGCCTAAGTGGCTCAGTCCATCAAGTGTCCAACTCTTTGTTTTGGCTCAGGTCATGATCTTGGGATGGTGGGATCAAGCCCTGCACTGGGCTCCATGCTCAGTGAGGATTCTGGTAGAGATTCTCTCTCTCCCTCCCTCCTGCCCCTCCCTTACACATGCACACACATGTGCTCTCTCTTAAATAAATAAATAAATCTATATAAAAAATGGCAGCTTTATTC